TTTTTCATGCATATTTTTCCATTGTTATGCTACAACTTCTTACGGCCATTATCCTAAGGTTTTTTGTTTTGTTTTTTGTTTTTGTTTACTTAGAAGATCACTCTGTGTCATTTACTGGAGGCCTGGACACCAGATAACCCAGATGGCTGGCACAGTATCTGTCATTACTAAAGCACCCAGAGCAGTTTCTCCTGTGAGTCAAGTAAGGAAGGTCTAACGACGGCTCAGGATGGTCATTCTGTTCTCTATGGACATTTTCTTTCTTAATCTACTGGTCTCAAGTCAAGACAGCTATCATTACTTACAGAATCAAAGGACTTGTGTTCGCCTGGAATATATTAGGCTTACCATATAGCTTACTGAATAATACCCCAGTGAACAGTAGCCATGTACAGATAAGATGAAAGAAAGTCACCTGGTAAATCATTTTCCTAAGTTCAGTCAGTGAAAATGATTTTTCAAAGTTTTCACGGATTAATGTAAGAATTTGTGCTTCTCGGCTATTTCTGTGAGAAATATATTCCAGAATTTTAGCTTCAGCATTATGGATTACTGGGCCATGACCTGCATTAAAAGAATTATACAAATTACTACAACCAAATAAAAAACATTAAGTACAAAGCTAATTCACTCTATTTAAGAATAATTCATATGCTGTACTGAAAAGCATATGAGTACATAAATAGCCATTGCTTGGAAAGCTACACCACGCACAAGATTTAAAGACTGTGTACACAGGACCTTCCGAAGTGGGCCTCCTGACTGCCTCTCCAGCACCAGGACTATGGGAACACTAGCTGTTGGGGACTGAATTCAGTCTCCGTGCTTGCACAGTAAGACTCCAGTGCCTGACCTAGCTCTCAGTCCCACAAGAAAATACTTGTATTAATTTTTCCAATGCCTTTTCCTGATAGTGATTCCCCTTCTGTGATGGGAGGAGGTCTCAGGAGACTCTCCCACCTCTCCTAACAGCTGCTGGAGAGGAAGAGACATGTTCCTATTCAGTGCAGCCGCTGGCAACCCCCCAGTGTCCCTCCTGCAGAATCCGTCACCCAAGCTCCTGTAAGCAACCCCCGTGAAACTCACTGGATCACCAAAGACAATGAAAACAGGGGGAGGGGTTTGGGGAGAGAAAGGGGTCAGTGGGACTGGGAGGGGGACGAGAAATGTAGTGGAGGGAAATATAGTCAAAGAATATTTTTAAAGATGTATTCTATTATTTGTGGGTATGTGTATGTCTGGGGGGGGTGGTGCTGGTGGAGTCACTGGCCCTGGAGCTGGCGTTTCAAGCCCGTGTGAGCCACCCGACATGCGGACTGAACTTCTACCATCTGAAAGCGCAGAGAGCATTCTTGACCACTGAGCCTCTCTTCAGTCCCTCAAATACATCATATAAACCCATGAAAAGGTCATAAGGAAACTGATTATTATGTAAAATTAATACATGTTAATAAAACAGCATTACATTATAGATAGCTTGGGGAAAAATAAAGCTTTGATGGCAACAAAAAAATTGTGCATAATACCAAAAACCTTTAGAGAATTATATCAAGTAAAACTATATAATATTATGTACCTTAAAATGTAAGATCTATTTTAGCAATAATATATGCACTAAAACAGTGACCACAATCATGGTAGGTAGTATGCAGTGTTTCCTGGGTGCTCAGTATTATTCCACATACTTGAAGTACGGGGCGCTTACAAGGGACCCCATGAGGTAGGTATTATTACTATCCACGGGGAAGGCACCTGCCTACAGCTATACAGGGAAGAAGGGGTGGTGTTGAGATTCCTCCTCGGCAGTTTTTAACCACTATGGGCACAGTCTTAACCACTGTAGCAAGTCCACTAACAAGACTGAAAAGGGTGAATACAAAGGCAGTCGGAGGCCCACAAGAGAACTAAAATCTTACAGCAAATGCAGCCATCCAGAACTTGTGACCACCCAGATGCGGTTACACTGAAATTCGCCTGCCCTTTAAACACTGCACTACGGTACAGAAGTCCACAAAAGGGATATTTTAAATCTTCAAGAACAAAACACCCAGACGCAGGCTAACCCAGTATCACATAAAGAGCACTGGACTTGAGTTTATAACCAGCTGTTTCCTTCTTAGCCTGTTTCTTCAGGGGTGCAGTGACACCAGCACCTACTTCACAGGGCTTTGTAAGCACACAGCTGTAAAGGCCCCTGCGTCGTACCTGCAGGGAAGCAGTCTTTACTGTAAGGTAACTATGGCGACAGAGCATAATTTCCATGAAAACACGTCCCTGCTAATAAGATGTGAGGTTCACTGGCTCCACTGAGAACCTCTGCAGACGGCCTCTCTCTGGCCGGGCTTGGGGTGCCTTGGGCAGTTGCTGCTTTGGCTTTCCTGCAGCTGGGGAGCCGACTCCTCTCGTGTCGTGATGCTATGCACGCCCAGCTTTACGGTACACGATTTCCTAAGCGCCGAGAACTCAGGAGAGACTGCAAGTGCGGACAGATCCTCCCCTGGCTGTTTGTTAGGAGCAAGTCAGAAAACAAACCAGTCCCCCCTTTCCTTCTGGGGCTCTTGCTGGGTTCTTTTTAGCTTCTACGATGGGGGGAACATTCATATTGTAAGCAGTGCAGTGATATCTGACATATAACAGGTTTCTTCTTCTGGAGATTGGAAATGTACCACTTTACAGTTGCTATGGAAACCTGACATGTCAACACTGTGAGTTAAAGTACAGAGGGCAAGTCTTACCCAGAGTTCCACAGCTAAAATGTGGTTTTTGTGAGAAGTCAGTTAAGAGGAGCAACAGTGATGGAGATGTTTCCCGCTCCCTTGCAGGCCTGCTTTGTTTCGGCAGTGGATTCCCGGAAGCCTCCCCTCTGCAAGGGGCTTGAGCGCCTGGCAGTGTTTGGAGGAACTGATGCTAGCGAGCAGACTGCTGAGTTCCCTCGGATTTTCATGTCGGTCGAGGAACTCTGATATGTGTGCACACCCCGGCTTAGAAATCTGCCGTCTCTGGGTGCAAAACCTAGTGGACCTCTGGCGCCGGGAGAACCTACTTAGCCGCACAGGCCATAAACGCCAGGGCTGGCAGTGGCTGCTGGACATAAGAAGGGAAGCTCTTATGGGAGGGAAGGCCCCGTGCCAGCAAGAGGAAAGAGCATCAAGGACTGAAGACGTTATGACATGGTTACATTCAAATATCAATAAGCAACCATGGCCACAACACTCCAGACCGCTGGGACAGATAGACAGACCACGCCTATGGATGTGTATCTGAAGAGAAACTAAGTCGCTGACAAAAGACAGAGAATGTATTCAGTGACGTTACAGTAGAACATCCCCAAATGTAGGAAAAGAAATGGACATTCAAGTTAAGAGGCATTTAGAATCCCCCAAAAAACATGACCAGGAGCTGGGTGGCGGTAGCGCATGCCTTTAATCCCAGCACCTGGGTGGAGGCAGAGCCAGGCGGATCTCTGTGAGTTCGAGGCCAGCCTGGTCTACAGAGCGAGATCCAGGATGGGCACCAAAACTACACAGAGAAACCCTGTCTCAAAAAACCAAAACAAAAAAAAAACAGAGACCTGGAACAAATAACCAAAATAACCAAAGCACCTTTATGTCTTGGAATAAGAAAAGTCAAAATAAATAGAAATAATAACAGTTCAGGGAAGAAAGTAATGAATATGAAATAGAGATGGAAAGAATATAAAGGACCAATAAAAGAGATTTTTTTTTTAAAGAATAAGACTCTCAAACCCTTAGTGAAACTAACCAAAAGGAGAAAAGAGTTAAACAAAATTGAACATAAAAAAGGCAAATAAATAAATAAATAAATAAACAAAGAGAAGATGTGAAAGACCTCTCTCTATAATGGAAACTATAAAGACTGTAGAAATAACCTGAAGGAGACACAAATACATGCTCCTGGATTAGCAGAATTAATACTGTGAAAAGAGCCTTATAACCCAAAATGATAAACAGATTCAATGCAAATCCCTATCAAAATTCTGGTAAATCCTTCATACAACCAGAAAGAACAGTTATCAAATTTATTGACCAAAGACCTCAAATAGCCACAGCAAATCTGAGCAATGCTGATGGAATCATAGTATCTGATTTTAAATTATACTAGAGCTACCATAGCAGACCCAGTGTGGTTCTGGCACCAAAAGTGACGCACAGACCGATGAAAGACCCCACAGTGAACCCCACAGCTGTGCCACCCGATAACTGGAGTAAAAACATCACTCACCTGGATATATAATGTCAGCTTTGATTTTTAATAAGTCTTGTAGGGAGTTCATATAATCATAGAGGTCTTCAAATATTGTTGTTCCTTCTCCTAGGATACAATCCCCAGAAAATATGGCGTTTTCTTCTTCCAGGAGTAAAGACATGTGGTCATCAGTGTGGCCAGGAGTGTATATAACTCTAGTCAAAAGTTATGAATCATAAAATAACACATATGAATTCATAGGCTTGGAGAAAATGTTGAGGAGTAAATAATTCTATTATCTTTAGACAAGACATCAACATGCTACCAAGGAGTCAACAATCTCATCATCTCATTTTTTCCTGGGTGCTCATGGGAAACTGACTACAGACAAATATCCCCTATTACTAGATCACTTTTCTTATTCAGAAGTACAAATTTAATAACACATTTTCTTCTTCTTTTATAAAAAGATGATTACAAAAAATTTAAAATACATAAAAATATAAAAAGATAAAAATTAAGATTATTGAGAAATAAAACTTTTAGTAAGAAGATAGCTTTTCAATTTCCTATGCTAATTAAAAAACAAAAGTGGTTTTTGAAGTTTTCATTTACTTATTGTTTTTATACATTATTAAATACTTTAGGTAAATACCTAAGTGCTCTACATAATATGTGGCACAATGCTATATGTTTCAAAAATAAAAATTTACTCTAATAGTATTTATATAAACATTTAAGAGAAACATTTTTTAAATGTATTTGTTTCCGCTTATTTTTTAAGTAAGTGTAGAGGCTGGAGAGATGGCTTAGCAGTTCTGAGCACTGTTGCTCTCACAGAGGATGCAAGTTTGGTTCCCAGCACCCACACGGTGGCTCACAACCATCTGTAACTCTCATTCTAGGGGGTCTAACACCCCCTCCCGATCTCTGCAGCACCAAACATGTATGCAGTGCACATACATGCATGATGGCAAAACACTCAAACAGATTAAAAAACATAATTAAATAAAGATGAGGTACCTATTAATGTGAAAAGTGTGTGTAAACCATAAAAACATTTAGAACAGTGTAATACAGAAACAAGGATAAACAGGCCTTTGAATGAGATGAAGACCCATAAACAATCCTAAATGTGGGTATGCAGAACCTGTTGTGTGCTTTTCTTTGGTAGTGCAGCCACTGGTTTGGTTGCCCAAACTCTAAATAATCCCTCATCTATGCTCCTGTAAGTAATCCTAATCAAATTCATTGGTAGAAATGCACGTGCACACATGTACACACACACACACACACACACACACACACACACACACACACACACACACACACAGAATGATGTGGGAGTAGAAGGGGGACTAACTGGGAGGAAGAAGAGGATCAGCAGGGTGGGAAGGGAGCGAGAGAGGACAGGATAATAAAGGGTAATAATACAAAATGCATTATATTCAGGAATGAAAATGTGACGATGAAACCCATTATTGTCTATAATTGACATTTGCTAACAAAAACCCTTTCAACTTCAAAACTGATTATGATACCTTTAAGTCATGATAAATATTTTTCAAGGGCTTTTATTTATATTCACATTAAGGTTTATATCTATACCAAGAGTAAACAAAAAGACTAACTAGTTTGCTCTGCAAAGCATCTCTTGATTGATTTCTCAGCCACATTTAGACCTGGGGATGGTGGTTTCCCGATTTACTTGTGTATCTTGAATTCCCCTTGTTCTGTAAGTGTCCCACAGTCTTCCTTGTTTACCATTCAGTCTCCTGACAGCCAGGACTCCCTCTTTTTTCCATGCTCTGTTTCCAGCACTCAGCTCTCAGTGGCATCTCATTTTAATCCATAGCTTTCCACGTCTCAGACACTGACTTCAGGAGCTTGTGAGTATTGTGCATTTAATCCTTATACTACTTTGAGGTGGGCTCTAGCAACCTTAGCATTTTAGATGAGTGAATCATAGAAGATAGCAATAAATGCCTGAAGAATATAGTTCAAACTTAATTTTATTTAGCTTCAGAAACTAATTCAATTGCCTTTGTGTCTGATTTAGACATTGATTTTTATGGTCTTGAAATATTTTAAATAAAACTCTCAATAATGAACTATTTGGCGACAGGGCAAATATAACTGCGTATTTCTATTTAATGCTTAGGGACTCAATGTGGGGTTTTGGCTGAAGACAGTGGAGTGTACAGCGGCATCTGGTCTCCTTACCCCACGGGGATGGGAAGAGTGGGTGGGAGACCACAGCTCCAGGACCGGAGATGCTAAAGTGAGAGGTGAAGGACAGGGAATCAACAATCGAAGCAAAGCTGAGGCCTAAACAGACAGGAAGATGAGAACAGCCCGGATCACCCCGAAGAATTCCCTGAAAGCTAAGGATTTGGAGTGTCAGGAATCTGGAAGAAGAGGGGACAGTAGGGGGAAGGTGGTTAAAATAAAAAAGATTGAAAATCTGAAAAAAAAAAAAGAAAAAAAGAAAATCTGTTTAACAAATATTCAGGCTGTGGCTGTCGCCCAGGGTAGAACATGTGGGGCCCTGGGTTCGATCCTTAACACTAAAAATCCCAAGCAAACCTCAAACAAAACAGAAACTTTCCAAATATGCAAGTTCCATTCTTACTTTGAGCTGCTCGGCAAGTGCTCTAAGCCTGTTAACAAAGGACTCGATCTTGCAAAAGTGTAAACCAGGCATGGATGGAAGTGGAGATAATACGCTAAGAAAATGAAGATAACTCCAACACAGGTAGATTCCTTTTTACATCAGTTTACATAATGCTGTCAGTGAGGTCTTTACCCTTCCTGAAGACCTCAAGAAAGCCTTTTCTAAGTCATTTTACTACCTTGGGAACAGACTACACTAAATTACTAGATTAAGGCACCATGAGGTTCATGCCTACAGCTCTCCCTTCTCCCAGTTCTCAGGGCTCAGTTTTCAGCAGAAGAAAAGCAGGAACTAGGAGGAGAGGCTAATTAAGATAATTAGCATACACGGCATGCAGTGGGTAAGAAAAAGCAAAGGAGTCCAGAAGCAACAAACTACAAAGAACCACCTTTTACAACTGATGATTAAAAAAACCCAAAAAACTGACGGTAAAGCCCTCAGCAAGGTAAAAAGAGAATCTCAAGCTAACCAGAAGAGCTTAGCGTGAAGGGGCACCAAGGGAGGAGAGTGACAAATGGAGACACACACAGCTCCATGGTGCAGGAGGAAGGAGATGATGGAAACCAGGACCGGGTGGAGCAGATGCCCAGTGCGGTTCTGAGGAAAGACCTGGAGGGCTGGGAAACCAACCAAGAAAACAGGAGAGAGAATGGACCAGAAGCAACTGCAAGAACAATTTCTAGAACAAAAGTCCTATCTGGAGCTGGACAAAGATTTCTTCCTATGGCTAACTTTGGTCAGGCTCCCGGGAATTTTTCCTTTTTCTTTTCGAAAGCATATTTATTTTATGTAAATGAGTGTTGTGCTTTCGTATCTATATGTGCACCATGTGTGTCTCGTGCCTACAGTGTTCAGAAAGTGTAGGATCCCCTGAACTTGAGTTCCAGGTGGTTGAGCCATCAGGAGGGGCTGGGAACCTAACCTGGGTCCCCTGCAAGAGCAGCAGGTGCTCTGAACCACTGAGCCACCTCTCCAGCCCCCCAGGAGCTTTTCCCAATGACAGGCCTTACGGAGCCTAATCTGCTGTAACACGGCACTTCCAGCATCCTGAGTGGGCCAGGCAGAGGGCATCAGAGAAACAGGAAAAGCAGGACGGTTTCTCTGACCTCCTAATGCCTTCTCTGCTTTGACTAGGTTTTCACACCTGTACGGACTTCTTGACTTTGCTCTGAGGCCCCAGCCTCACACTCAGACACAGAAGAACTCTTCTGAAGAAGAGTCTGAGCCAACAGGCCTTGCAGTTCCTAAGCCTGGGCCACCGCTTGTCCAGTCTCACTTCTCTATGACTGCTGACTCCATCGAAGAGCGTAAAAATAGGCCGTGTTCCCTGTTAATATGGGTCTTTATTTCCGAACACTCCAGTGTCTCCTAAAGACATAGCTTTAATTTTTCCCGTCATTCTGCCCGTCGACACTATTTTCCAACCTTGACAAGGCCCTAAGAAGACAGAGGACACGTTGCTCTCCTGTGCTGACCTAACACCGAGTTTCCCTCTCTGTCCTGGAGGCAGCTAATCTGAGTAGTCAGATCGGGAAGTGCTCTGCTGTCAATACCGGAAGGACCCTATGACTGGTTACTTCTTAGATAGTCCGCATGCTCTCATCCTTAACTTGCTCCCCATTTGCCCTTGCAGAGCTGGGGTGCAGCCCAGTCCCGCTATTCCACAGTGAGACCCCACGGTAATGTCCCTGCACCTATTTCCATGGACCCCTTTCAATTAAAGTCTGTCTACATTAACAAAGGTAGTTTTCTCCTTATCAGGCCCTAGAACTACAAACTCACAAAAGCACTGAACTGTGAAATCTCAGGAAAAGAGGGCTAAGAAGGAATCCCCCCCCCCCCAATACACAGAACAACAGATAATGAGAAATCTCAGGATTCAGAAGGGCCTGTATTTATCAAAATGTAGAAGAAAATGAAATCTTGCCCACAAAATGAAACAATTTCAACTTAGAATCTAATCTGTATCCATAAACAAACTCACTCATTCACACTCATTCACTCACACACTCACTCACATATTTACTCCCTCACTCACTCACTTCCTCCCTCCCTCACACTCCCTCACACACTCCTCACACTCACACACTCCTCACACTCACACACTCCCTCACACTCACACACTCCCTCACATTCACTCACACACTCCCTCACATTCACTCACACACTCCCTCACACTCACTCACACACTCCCTCACACACTGACTCCCCCCCCCACACTCACTCATACCCTCCCCTCCCTCCCTCCCTCCCTCCCTCCGCCCCTCCCTCCCTCCCTCCCATCTTTCTTTTCTGACAGGGCCCTGCTTTGTAGTCCCTCCCTCCCTCCCTCCGCCCCTCCCTCCCTCCCTCCCATCTTTCTTTTCTGACAGGGCCCTGCTTTGTAGCCTCAAGTCCCCTAAAACAAAATACAGGACAGACAGACAGGGAGGAGGGAATGGGGGGATGAGTTGCGGAGGGGGAGAGTTGAAGGGGTGGGAGGAAGGAAGAGGGGGATCTGCGATTGGTATGTAAATTGAATAAAAGCATTTCTTAATTAAAAAAAGAAGTGAAATAACTATAAGTTGGAGTTCACCATTTGCCAAAAAATAAAAATTAACCGACCTTAATAAATACTGAAACTATGAAGGCTTTTAAAAATTTAAGCTAGGCATGGTAGTGCACACCTTTAATCCCAGCACTTGGGAGGCAGAGGAAGACGGATCTCCAAGTTTGAGGCCAGCCTGGTATAAGGAACAAGTTCCAGGACAGTTCAGGGCTACCCAGAGAAACCCTGTCTTGGAAAACAAAAAACAACAAAAACACCTGTTGGGGACATAAGGTAGAGCCCGTTCTGTTCCCGTTTGCAGATCAGGATGCAGCTCTCAGCCCTTCCTGCCTTCATACCTCTGCTTTGCCCTCTGAAACTGTAAGCTCAATTACGCGTTTTCCTTTATAAACCGGCCTTGGTCATAGGGTTTGGTCACAGCAATAGAAAATGTGTTATTATGAGAAAATCCAGTCAAGCACCTGTCTATCTGTTCTGTATTTTGTTTTCCCGCAGCACTAGGGATTGAATCCAGAGCCTTTTAGACCCTTGGTGAGTACAAGGTACTGAGTTCATCGTGTGTGTGTGTGTGTGTGTATGTGTGTGTGTGTGTGTGTGTACACTAGAGTATTTTAAGAAACCCACCCCCCCAAACTAGCTGGTAGATAAATGACAGCAGTGATTGTAAAAATGACGGTACCTTGGCTAAGAGGGGACCCTGGTTTGGAAGAGCACAGTGGCTCCTCGGCTTCACTTCCCCTGTCACATCAACTGCACACCCACTTGCCTATTTAAAGACACTGTTCGTAGACTACGCAGTGCCTTCTATGTGCCAGGGACAGAGGACACAAAGATCAACCCGGTATATGCCTGGGAAAGAGGAAGACTAGCCAGCTACCAATCCTATTTCTTCTTAATCTTGGGCATGGTGTTCATGTCCCTGCATGTCTATGATCATGTGCGGGACATGCCTGAATTTATAGCAAATGTACCAGAAGCCTTGGCCCATGAAACCTCCTGCATGATATCTTCTTCATGTTCTTTTATACTTGCTGTATATACTTTTATACTGAGCTAAGTGTAGGGAGTCTGAAAGCCGAGTGCAGAGGGGTGCAGAGTCACATGACCAAAAGAACCCAAATCACTGTCCTGCTCTACACCCCGAAGGCCACTCACAAATCAGGAATCTTTTTTGGACTTAGTGTGACTTAGAAATTTTTTTAATGTTTGAACTATTATATTTCTAAGCTAGCTTGCTATGGCAACTGGCATAAACTACTACTGTGAATTGTCAGCAGCCACCTACTCACACACATAAACTATAACACAGTTATTAAGTGCTTTAGAGAAATCACAAGAATTAGATGAGAGCCGGAGGAGGAGCAGGATTCTGCTGAGAAAGGATACTCAAAGGAACTTGTGAGCTGGGCAAACAGCAGTGTGCGAGGGAGAGAGTCTGAGGAGAGGAGCAATGCTCAGGGAAAGGGGAGACATGAACAGGTGTGAACACAGAACACAGAACATGCCCACGAGGATTTACACATGGCTCAGGGAAAGGGGAGACATGAACAGGTGTGAACACAGAACACAGAACATGCCCACGAGGATTTACACATGGCTCAGGGAAAGGGGAGACATGAACAGAGGTGTGAGCACAGAACACGCCCACAAGGATTTACATATGTAATGGTGTTTGTGAGCGGGGTAGTGGAGTTATGACCAGAAATGAGGCTTGACTGTGGAAGTGTGGAGACAGTCGACACTGTCTTGCAGCCAGGGGGAATCAGCAAAGGCTCAAGTGATTGGGTACCAGGGAGACTAGACGGGGAGGCCTGCAGATGAGGGTCAGGGAGAAGAGAGCAGCAGCAGACATGAAAAGGGGACAGCACTAACAAACATTTCATTTGAATTTGTTTAAAGTTACACTTCCATTGATTTGTATGTGGGGTTGGCTGGGGGCAGGGTGAGTGTGGAGGTGAAAGGACAGCTTTTGGGGGTCAGTTCTTTTCCTTCTATCATGGAGGTCTGAGGGACTGAATGCCGGTCATCAACCTTGACAGCAAATGTTTTTGCCCACCGGGCATCTTGTTGCCCCTGACAAGCACTTCTGAGGCAAAATCTAACCCAGTGTGATGAGGAGCCGGGGAAAGGGGAAAGGTGAAGAACAGTGGAAAGGTTAAAGGTAACCCTGGATTAACATCCCAATTGCAGAGCACAGTGGATGTTCTGAGATCTGAAGGCAAGAACAGATTCCAGGAGACAGAGAATGACCATTAGTTCAGTTTCAAAACATCAGAGTTGGAAATGCTTTATCCCAGACCCAGGTCATGAGGGGTCATGGGCCTACCCCAGAAGTATTTACAAAAGGTCTAGGTCTCGTTTCAAAGTGAGAACACTGGGAAAACCTACACTGAGGTTCAGGAAGATCCCTCAGTCACCCACGGGGGAATGTTGACTTTTAATATCAATGTGCTTTGTGAGACAGGGTCTCCCACTATAGCCCAAGCTGACCTGGCACTTACTCAGTGCCTGGCACATACCCTGGACTTGAATTTAGGGCCCATTTCCCACACCAGCCTCCCATGTCTATGAGCTATCATGCCTGGGCCTAGTTTTCTCAATTTGTATTCGTGTAGGAATTCGTTAAAGAAACAAAAGAAAAGCACTTAAAGAAGATAGAGTGAAAAGAAACTTCTTGCTTTTCTGTCTGCAAGCCAGCCCTTCTCTTCCCTGAGAGGACTAAATGCGTCAGATTCCCGATTCTTCACACACACAGGCAAACAGACCTAACTTCGCCTTCATCCTTCTTAATAACACACTCACTCACAAGCCCCCATTTCCTGAGGGACATTTCCTTACCTGAGAGTGGCTCCCTCCGTCTTAATCAAGTCTCCATTTTCTATATAAACATACTGCTGTTCTCCATTCCCTATGATTTCTTCTCTCCGAGGATTCCGTGGGAGTTTTTTAATGCAATAGGTAGTGTCTAGTCATAAAACATGTAAATATATTAAGTCATACTCCAAGATTCAGCTTTTGAAGAGATCAGCGTTCATACAGGCAACAGCCACTAAAGACTACACAAAACCCTGGCATTAAGACAACAGGGAGACAGGAAGAATTAAAGCCATGAATCTCTGAGGTGAAACTAGTTCACCTGGTTCCAAAGCGTTGGATTCTCCCAGGCCCTTGTAGTTCCCATAAAAGCCTGTGATTTTCTAGTCATTTCTTCTGTGTAAAAACTTCAGATGGTTCCCCATAATCTCAGGTAGCACTTGGCACCAGGGAGGTGACGAGGGGACAGTCTGATGGAGCATGAGCACTTTTCTCTATCTAGGTGGCCACTGGACATGTCAGTAGTTAATAAGACTGTGCTGTCGGGGCTGAAAGAGGTCCCGGATGCTAAGAGGGTAAACCTTTAAGATGAATTTCACACGCACGACTCCTCACTGATAGAAGGAAAGTCAATCCTCTCCCAATCTGCAGGGCCAATCATTTACCCAGGACAGTGAGTGCAGTGAACTAAGGCACTGAAAATCTGACAGCTGGGGAAATGGAAGCAGGACCCACAGAGAAGCCTCCTGCAATCCTGAAGAGAGAGCTCCGCCAGGAGAAGCAGCAGGAGCCAGACAAAGGGCGGCTACTAGGAAAGGAGTCAGGACTGGACAGAAGCTGAGCCACGACTGACAGGGAGGCAGGCTGGGCAAAGGGACAGGGAAGCTTGTAGGAAGGAGCAAGCATCCGGAGAGCTGTGGAAGCAACGGTGGGCGCGGTGGGTGCGGTCTAGGGTGACCATGCTTCCCCCTTGTCTAATGCAAACTACTGCCGCTGGGAAGAGCGGACAAAAGCTGTCCAGGGAGATGAGCTCCGCTGACAGAGAGGAGACTGAGCCTGGCCACTGTGGCCACTGTGGCGTTTTTAAATGACAGCGTGGCAGTACTGGCGGGTCAAAGGGCAGCTGTGGGTGGTGACAGTGGAGGGATGGCTGCGACAGTCCAGCGGGAAGACACCAGGTTAGGGCAGCGGTGCTGGAAACGGGAGACATTCACAGGTGACAGTCGGGGTTCTGTTTGCTGTTGTTTTTTGGACAGGGTTTCTCTGTGTAGCCCTGGCTGTCCTGGAACTCACTCTGTAGATCAGGCTGGCCTGGAACTCAGAGATCCTCCTGCCTCTGTCTCCAGAGTACTTCGATTAAAGGCGTGGCTGATACTAATGATTTTTAATTTAAAGATCTGTTTTGTTTTTAGTGTGTGTGTGTGTGTGTGTGTGTGTGTGTGTGTGTGTGATGTATGCCACACGTGTGCAATGCCCATG